CGCGCCGGTCGGCGGAAGCGGACACACGGACACGCAACCCCCCCCCAGCCCCGCCGCCGGGTCCCCGTCAGCCGTAGTGGTAGACGAAGTCGTAGCTGCTGGGCTCCTTGGGGATGGGCGGCGGCGCCTCGGGGATCTGGATGTTCTCCAGGTCCAGGAGCCTCAGCTTCATCTCCATGCTCAGCAGCGTGTCCAGGTCGCTTTTCGTCAGCTCGCTGGACATGTCCTTCCCCAGGAGAGCGTTCAGCCCATCAATCCAGATACAGTACTGCGGGCAGGGTGAGGGAAAAAAAGGAAAAAAATAAATAAATTTAAAAAAAAAGGATAATTCACAACTCTAGGTTATGTTGAATCCTTCCATCCATGGGACAATCCGAGATACTCCTACAGCTCCAAAAGGGGAAAACGTGGGAGGGAGCTAACCCACAGGGAAAAAGCCACCCAGCCCCAAAACAGTGCCCACAGAGGTTTGCAGTGGAAGTTAGAAGCCTGGAGGGAAGCATGACCCCATGGCTTGAGGAAGGGGGCAATGAATTTCTATCGCAGCATAACAACAAAAAACACAAAGCTATTTTAAATATCAGTGTCTTCCAGAATGGGGAGGAGGGAACAAGTGACTGCCCAGGAGGAAAAAAAGCAGCAGCCCAGATTAAGGGAAATTAGTGAAGGAATATACTTCTTTTTAAAAAAAAGATAACTGAGGAAAAAAAATTCACACTAAGCATTGGCATCATTTTCTAAGAATGAACCCAGTGTGAGACATCCTGCTCCAGCCTTTGGTGAGAAGCAACTGATCCTTCTTAATCTCTTAAATTCATTGCTTTATACTCTACTGCTTAACCGCTATGTTTCTTACCTCATATTTATTAGGTGCAATGAAGTTCAAGGTCTCATCAGGGTCGTACAATATCGAGAAGGCCAATTCTAACACTTCCTGAATGAAAAAGAATCCTTCACTCATTGACTGAGCAAAACACCACAGCACCCAACAAGAGAAGCTGCCTTCCTGCAGCCCAGCACACTTTCCATAGCAGTATTCTCACAACTCCGAGCAGCCTCCAGCACAGCACACAGCTCACAGCATCCAGCAACCACAAATTGTACTAGGAAAAGTCCCAGGGATGAGATGGGGTTCGTAAACAATACACCTGTGGCATGGAAGACCACGTGCTCCTGTTGTTTGCTTTCACCATCTTCAATTCTACAGCACCCGGATATTAATTACAGGCAAAAAGGGAGCGCTCACCTTGTTCTGTTTCAGTGCACTTTTCTCCTTCATGTGTGGACAATCCTTCCCTGTGACAATGGCTTTGATGTCTGCAACTGGAACTAACAGTGAAAAAGTAAAACTCACAAGAAATCCTACTCATGGAAAGACAGAACTTTGTTTTGTCTTTGCAACTGAACATTGTTCCTGTAGCTCATTACCGCCGTTTCCCAAAACCAGTAACACATCCCTACAGTTGGCCATTATAAGAAATACCAAGCAATTCCAAGACTCAAAGGATTTGGACAAGGACCAAAAGTTGATCTCATCTCAGTCAGGGCTTCAGCCAACAGCTCTTTCTCTCTCTGATGGTCTGAACAGCCTCTGGATGGCAGAGCACAGAACGTAGCCCAGTGTGCTCAGCAATAAACAGGACTTACTTTTTTCCTGTAGAGATTCAAAGGTCACTTCCCCCTGGGCATTATCTTCCAGATCTCCATAGTGTAGCACCTTGTGATTCAGAGCCAGGCGACAGTACCAAAATCTTTCTGGAACACACATCAAGAAGATCAAACTGAGCAAGACCATTCATATAAGGTCTTCCAGCCACTACACTATAGTCACACCACCCAATCCCTCTACCCCCAACCCCTCAGCACTGCTTCCTGCTCATGAGGGGATGGCTGTATTCTTAGAAATGCACATCTGCTCCATCCCAAACCATTGACTGGTATAGCCAGCCCAGGTAACCAGCTTTCCTCTCTGGCAATACGCCTGCAGACAGATTCATCCATAAGAACTTACTCGCCTACAGTCCTTCACATGAAAAAATGCAGTAGGTGCTGCCACCTTACCTTGTCTTCTGCGATTTCCAATTTTTCGAAAGCTACTTCCCTCACAAAGCCTGTTCAGGCGCTGCTGCTTTATCAGCTCCAAGATCTCAGGTTGGATTTTCTCTCTCAGCTCCCTGGGAATCAAATACGGAAGAGTAAGCGAAAAATGGAGATACCAGCAAGCACAGAAAGCCACTGGTTTTGTTAGGCACTTACACAATAGGTGGCGACTGGAAGTCATCTTGGCTCATTCTCTCGGACTGGCGGAGTCGCAGAATCTCGGAGTAGCTCAGGCTGCGCAGTTTGCTCTTGAACTGGTCCAAGGAGTTTGGTTTAGAGGGGAGAGCCCGTGTGATCTGTTCCCTCACAACCTGCATAACCTAAAGAGGTTGGGCAGGGAGAAAAAAGCAAGTCACATTCTTGCTGCTTAACGGCAGCAGAGAACCAGGGCACAGCTCAGTGGCAGCAAAAAACTGATATAGAATAAGTGGGGCCAGGAGCATCAACATACTGGTGGCTTTGAAGATCCAGAAGAATAAAGAAGGACCTCGGTCATGCCAAATAAAAGTTGGACCATCCTCCCTCACAGCCCACATCAATGCCCGGTCACACCTTCTGCGCCCTACTCTTTAACCAAGTGTGCAGGCTGAGTGAACACGGACCATTCTGCAAAAGATTCAACAAAAATACCCCTTCTCCACCCTGACCTTATTAAAATCTTCTGCCGTCGCCCTCATTTCTTTCCAGGTCTTGTTCAACAGCTGGATGCAGATGGCAAATAGCTCTTCAAATGCACGGTCATGGGTGAAAAACATGGGGTGATAGTCATTCCGGCCTTCATTGGCTTCAGGAAGAAACAGAAATCACAACCACGTGAGCATATTGACCAAGAGCTACTAAGAGTAACTAAAATCCACTACAGTGACAGAAACCCAATGGTGTAGAACATAACTCAAAGAGATTAAGACAGTTCGATGCTTCGTCTCCCCATAGACAGTTTATACTGGGAATGGCAACTATTCCCACACTTCACCATGTCATTCATGTGACCTTTTCATACCAGTCCCCCCAAATGACTGCTTGCAGCTGTTTCCCACTCTCATCAGGTAGAATTTCTTACAGTGGTTAATTATCTCAGAATGGTGCTTTGAGACTGTCAGAGCTACTTAACTTTTCTCAAGTTCATGACGGTTTCCAGATTGATATTTTTTTTTGTACCACCCCCTGCTGAAGCTTCAGGAGGTCGAAGCTTTCTGCTTGTGCCAGTTTTTCAGGAAAATTGGAGTGCACACACCTAAATTTCTTACTTAATTTTGATACTGGTGTCACACTGGGACACTGGCAGCACAACTCCAAGCTCCCCCTGCCCTTACATGGCAGAAGCAAGATTGAGGTACAAATGCTTGTGAATATCGGTGAGCCTGTAAGCTTCAGCCCAGCAGCTGGGAAAGCTGGGGGAATAAAATGGTACTTACGGAGTTCCCCGACTTGCAGGATCTCACAAAGCATCCTGGTAAGCTCAATGGCACTGCGCCCAAAGGGACATTCATGCTTATCTTCTCGACTGCTGTTCTCCAGAACAATCTACAAGAAGAGGATGCAACACACGCTAAGGAGAGCTGCCGAGGTGTTGCTATCTGCAAAAACCAGCAGCTTCACTTACTCTGATATAGGTGTCCTGATGAAATTTGGCCAAGTAGAGCATGTTGTCCAATGCCAGCATCCCCGGAGGAGTCTGAGTAAAATCCATGGCTGGATTGATGTGATTCTGTGAAAAGAGTGTGTAGAAAGAACCCAGACAAATTACCTCAAAGAAATTCTGTAAGAACCATTTCTGAACGAATTTTACAACCACCTGTCCATCAAGCACTCCCTCACATCTATCCAAGAGACAACCTTGGACACCCGCTGACAACGCTATCCGGTCTTTCTAGAAGAGACGCTGATTTCCAAGTTCTTCAAAGAATAGGTG